GAGAGAGAGAGAGAGAGAGAGAGAGAGAGAGAGAGAGAGAGAGAAAGAAAGAAAGAAAGGAAGGAAGGAAGGAAGGAAGGAAGGAAGGAAGGAAGGAAGGAAAAACATTTTCTCTGGGGTAAAGGTACTATGGCTTAATGATAAGACATTTTCATGGTATACACAAATTCAAATGATAACTAAAATGTCAATAGGGGCTGGGGATGTTGCTCAGAGATAGAGCATTTGCCTACTGTGCACAAACACCTGGGTTCAATCCTTAGCACTGCAAGATAAATAAATGAATAAATAGTAAGTGAATAGTCAATAAACAGAAAATACTCTTAAAGATTCAAATTGTATTCCCAAAAGTCAGAAAAGGAGAAAAAGAAAAAGAAAAATGGAGCAAACAGAGATCAGGCTGTTTGACTTTTGCTGGGGGATGTAAACAAACATTTATTCACTCCAGATAGGGTGCCAATGAGAAACCAAAGCAATGAGTCCATTCAAGTCTAGCATGAAGAAGTCTAGCTCTTATAAGTTTGTTTACTTATAAGAGCTTAGGTGACTTTAAGGCATCTGAAAAGCCCACTCCAACATGGATGAGACTAAGGAAAGCTGCAACCCTGAGGCTTCCTGCACAATTCCAAGGCAGCTCCAGAAAAGAAAAAAAAATTCCCCATTACTTGATTATTGCTTCCTTAATCCTGGAGAAGGGTCTTGTGAATCTTGTCACTGTCTGAGCCTCTTGAATCTCCTTAGATTCAGGAGTTTCCTAAATCTTGTAAGTTTACTTAGTTTGTCTTATGAACATTCCTCCTCCAGAAGGAATGTCTCAATTCAGAGGAACTTGCTGTACAAACCCAGCATCAGCTGGGTGGTGGTGGTGCATGCCTTTAATCCCAGCACTCGGGATCGCTTTGAGTTCAAGGCCAGCCTGGTATACAGATCGAGTTCCAGGACAGGCTCCAAAGCTACAAAGAAACCTTGTCTTGAAAAACCAAACCACAACCCCCCCAAAAAAACAACAACAAAGCCAGCATCAAGTGCTGGAATGGAGCTCACCTGAGAGCAAATGGTAACAGCTAAAAAGTGGAAGCAACTAAGCCACTATCAGCAGACAAGTAGATAAAGCCAACAAAATGGTACTCAGACATAAAAATGCCAGCTGGGGATGGAGCTCAGTTGATGGAGTACTTGCCTATCATGTACAAAGCCCTGAGTTCCATTCCTAGTAGTACACAAACCCTGTGTGGTAGTGTGCTCCTATAATCCCAGGTAGAGGCAGGAGAATTAGGAGTTCGAGGTCATCAGTTTCTGACTAGTGTGATAGTAGTAATAATGGTTGTTAAGCATTGTGAATGCAGGCTGGAAAAATGGCTTGGAAGTTAAGAGCAGTCTCTTTTGCAGAAGACCCAGGTTCAGTTCCTACCACCCACACAGTGGCTCACAACCATATGCACCTCCAGTTCCAGGGGGATCAGATACCTTCTTTTGTGTTCTGTAGACACTAGACATGCATGTGCTGCAAAAATATGAATGCAAAACACACACACACACACACACACACACACACACACACACACACACACACAAAACCAAACCAAAAACATTATGAATACAATTAATACCTCAGAACTGAACATTTTAAATGGTTAAAATGTCAAACTATCTGTAATTACCCACATTATACCAGCTAAATAGAACATAATTTTTCCCAGTTTTTCAAGACAGGGTTTCTGTGTAGCCCTCACTCTGTAGACCAGGCTGACCTTGAACTCACAGAGATCTGCCTGCCTCTGCTTCCCTAATGCTGGGATTAAGGGCATGAGCCACCACTGCCCAGCAGACCATAATATTTTAAAAAAGAATTTGGGAGGAGTTTACCCAAGTCATTCTGGCTTGGAGTTTTTCACAAACTCGCTGTCCAACCAGGGCTGCAAATGCAGCAAACTAAAGCTGCCTGGGCTTGTCTCCTTCATACTCCATGTGAGCCCTTCTCTGCACTCTCTCCATGATGGTTGCTCAGGTTTTCTATGGGGTGATAGAGAAGATGGGCAGCTAACATGGTTGTGATGGGTAAGTACACCAGCTAATAAGGCAGAAGCCCTACATGCCTTAACTTTTCTGACCCAGTCTTAGAAAGCAAGCAGCAGTTTTAGCATATTATCTTAATCACAAGCAACATGCAAACCTACTAGGATTGTAGGGGGAGGACTAAATTCCACCTCTTGAGGAGAGGTGGCAAGGCTCCAGAAGAACCTGTGGGATGGACATGTTGCAGCTACCTTGGAAAGCCACAATCTGATACACACCAGCTAAAAGGCAGAGACTGTCAACCTTAAACAAAGTAGCTATATGGTATTTACAAGAAGCACTTTTTTTTTCAAAACAGGGTTTCTCTGTGTAACTGCCTTAGTTGTCCTGGAACTTGCTCTGTAGAGGGGGCTGCCCTTGAACTCACAGAGATCCACCTGCCTCTGCCTCCCGAGTGCTGGGACTAAAGGCTTCCTGCTCACAAGAAGCACTTTTATGCATAAATACATGTTGAAAGTTGAAGTATGGACACATAACAAGACCTAATACCAAATCTCTCAAATGCATGAAGTAAAAATTGTTCCCTCTAAAGGGCTCTAGAAATAAATCTCCCAACACATTTTTATACTATAACATATGTTTTTCAGGAATTGATCAAATAAGAAAAAAATCACTCAGAATATAGATTTGCATAGTATTATCAAGCAAATTAATGTAACTGATATTTAAAGAGCACTACATCCCCAATGTCAACAAACACCAATAAAATACAAAGGATTTGGATGTCTCTCCACTGTGAAGTTGAATTAAAGAGTAACAATGATGAGCTGTTAAGATGGCTTACTGGGTAAAGGTGCCTATCACCAAACTTGGAAACCCAAGTTTGATATCTAGGACCCATGTGGTCCAAGGAAAAATAACTCCCACAAATTTTCTTCTGACCTACACACACACATACACACACACACACACACACACACACACACACACACACACACTGATGTACATCTCCACCCTCATATAAATAAATGTAATAAAAATAAAATTAAAAAACTATACTGAAGCATGGCATGTTAGTGTACATCTTTAATCCCTGCACTCAGAAGACAAACACAGATGGATCTCTGAGTTCAGGATAGTCAGGTCTATGTAGAAAGACTCTATCTTTAAAAACAAAAACAAAAACAAAAAACAGTTGGATGGTGGTGCACACCCTTAATCCCAGCCCTAGGGAGGAAGACGCAGGTGGATCTCTGAGTTTGAAGTCAGCCTGGTCTACAGAGTAAGTTCCAGGCCAGCCAGGACTATTTTGCAGAGAAACTGTGTCTCAAAAAAACAAAAACCAAACAAACAAATTAACAACAACCAAAACAAGTAAGGCATGATGGTGCATCCCTGTAATCCCAGCACTTGGGAGGCAGAGGCACATGATCTCTGTGAGTTCGAGGTCTGTCTGGTCTACAGAGTGAGTATCAGGACAGCCAGAGCTACACAGAGACCCTGTTTCAAACAACAAAGAAACAAGTAAAGCATGGTGCTGCATGTCTGTAATCTGCACTTGGTAAGCAGAGGAAAGAGAATCCATGCAAGTTTGAGGCCAGTATAATTTACTTATGGAGTTCCAGGCTTACCAGAAGACCCTCTTTCAAAACAGCAAAACCCAAAGGACCCAAAAAGCATGATAAACATTCGATGTGTGTGTGTGTTTGTGTGCACACGTGTGCAATAGTGTCTATATAGTGTCTTTATGTGCAGTGTGGATTAGGTTCATAAACTCTTTCCTCAGGTTCTTTCACATGGGAGCTTGGATTCCTAAACCTGCTGTTTGTGCACAAATGTATGAGTCGTATGTTGTGTGAAGCATGTATTTGAGGATATGTGTATTAAGAGAGAGAGAAATAGGCAAGTATACTGGAGATCAGTCTGAAAGGTCTTTCTCCTCTGGGGACGAAGCTGGATCACATCGGGCACATTTGGCCCTGGCATAACCCCAGCCCCACCCCTTCCCTTCCTGTCCCTCATCTCTGGGCAGCCAGCCCCATTTGAGGAGGAGGGGCTTGAATGGTCCTGAGAGGTTCTCTCATTCCCAGGCTTGTAGCCCTTTGTCACCCGGAGATGAAGACAAAAGAAGGAGCCTGCCTGGGTTGGGTAAAGAATATAAGGATTTGGCATGAAAAAGTAGTGAGTCTGGGTCAGGTCCAGCCATCTCCAGCCTCAGTTTGCCTCTTAGGAGATGAGGTGCTGCACTAAATAGTTTCCCACAGCACTTCCATACTAGATGTTTTAGTAAGGTGGACCTGTGGAGTAGGGGCAGACAGGACCTAGGTTGCTGCTGAACCAAGATGAGGACTGGGCTTTAGATGGGTGGTCCTGGGGACTGACCTGGAAAGAATGGGGCAGAAAGGGAAATTGAAGCCAGGAAGTAACTTCCTGGTAGATGGAGGAAGGAGGCTAGGGGGAGGAGGGAGGCAAGGGGAGGTGCTTGAGGGGGAGGAGGGGGAAGTCTCCCATGCAGGTCATTCCCTGAGGCTGGGTTGGGGCGGGGGCGAGGAGGGAGTTCTGAGCACTGGCCACCTTCACGCTGCTGCCCAGAAGCCCAGGAGCTGAAGCAGGTAAGGGACTGCAAAAGGACTCTGAGAAGCACAGTTGGTCTTTCTTGACCAGTCCTTACTTGGCCCTTCAATGGTGATCTATCCAAGCTGCTGTCTGGGCAGGGGGAATCTTAGTGTTTACCTCTGATGCCTAATCACCAGTCTGGCTTTTGAGAGCTGCCTGGATGGAACGTGGGCTTTGTGTTATTTTGATTGTTCCTTATATTCCCTGCCCAGGCCTGAATACAGGCTGCACCTCCATCCTGTGAACGTACCTTCGGAGAAGCACCTCTATCCTGTGCGGTGACCCTGGACAGTGGGGCTGGCCCCTGGAGTGGAGGCTGAGTTGGCCCCCCATAACAGGTGTACAGGTCATCTGCAGTCACCCCCACCATGTTCCTCGTGTCCACCATATCCGGTAAGGTTCCAGCCACTGGGTTCCTGCTCCCTCTTGCTTAGATGAGCCAGGTGGGTTTGATGGAGCTGAGAAGGCCCTTTTTCTAAAACTTCTTTCCCTTTCTTGTGAGCGGGTATGCTGTCAGGAGGGGCTGAAGGGAAGGCATTAACTGCCTTCTAAACCACAGACTTCCTTAGAAGTCCCTTCTGCTGGGGTCCAGGAAATGGGCAGTAAGACCAACAAGGGGTTCAGCTGCACAGGCCACTATCCCTGGCATTTGAACTTCCTCATTCTAGGGAACCTACACAGCACCCCACTAACTTGTCCCTTATCCCTCACCCTTGCCTAGCTGTGCCTGGGCCTCTTTCACCTCCTAGCTCTTCTAGCAACAGCAGCCAGGAGGAGCTACTGGATGACCGAGACCCACTGCTAGTCCGGGCTGAACTGGCCCTGCTTTCTACCGTCTTTGTGGCTGTGGCCTTGAGCAATGGCTTGGTGCTGGGAGCCCTAATACGACGGGGCCGGCGTGGACGCTGGGCACCTATGCACGTCTTCATCAGTCATTTGTGCCTAGCTGACCTGGCTGTGGCTCTGTTTCAAGTGCTGCCCCAGCTGGCTTGGGATGCCACTGACCGCTTCCATGGCCCTGATGCCCTGTGTCGGGCCGTCAAGTACCTGCAGATGGTGGGCATGTATGCCTCCTCCTATATGATCCTGGCCATGACACTAGACCGCCACCGTGCCATCTGCCGCCCTATGCTGGCATACCGCCATGGAGGTGGGGCTCGCTGGAACCGGCCAGTGCTGGTGGCCTGGGCCTTCTCACTCCTTCTCAGCCTGCCTCAGCTCTTCATTTTTGCTCAACGAGATGTGGGAAATGGCAGTGGAGTATTTGATTGCTGGGCCCGATTTGCAGAGCCCTGGGGCCTTCGTGCCTACGTCACCTGGATTGCCTTGATGGTATTTGTAGCACCTGCCCTAGGCATTGCTGCCTGCCAGGTTCTTATCTTCCGAGAGATTCATGCCAGTCTGGTGCCAGGGCCATCTGAGAGGGCAGGGAGGCACCGCAGAGGGCACCGGACAGGCAGTCCCACTGAAGGAGCCCATGTGTCGGCAGCCATGGCCAAGACTGTGAGGATGACACTGGTGATTGTGATTGTCTACGTACTGTGCTGGGCACCCTTCTTCCTTGTGCAGCTGTGGGCAGCGTGGGACCCAGAGGCTCCTCTGGAAAGTGGGTATGGGTGTGGCTAAGGTTGGGGTGGGGGAGGTAAGGGCTTGGCCATACACATCCAAGTATTCCACTTGCTATCTTTATGCCCTACTAGTGGGTTCACATGTGGTGTCCCCGTGGCTTGCTAGCATGAGCAAGGCACACCCTGAGCTCCAACCTGGCCTCTTCTCTCCTTCATAGGGCCTCCCTTTGTGCTGCTCATGCTGCTGGCTAGCCTTAACAGCTGTACCAACCCCTGGATCTATGCTTCCTTCAGTAGCAGTGTCTCCAAAGAGCTGCGCAGCCAACTTTGCTGTGCTCAGAGGCATACCACACCCAGCCTGGGGCCTCAAGATGAGTCCTGTGCCACGGCCAGCTCCTCTCTGACCAAGGATACTCCTTCCTGAGCAGCCACTGGGCTCCTTCCATTCAAAGGCTCCCTGTAGGCTCAGATGACTGTCTGAGGTTGGCCCTGGGAACACCAAGAGAGGGGTACCTTGGCCATCTTTGATCCTCCCTAGATCTCATTGTCCCCAGGTATGCAAGAAGGAATGTTCTAAGACTGTAAGGAAACCCTTAAGTTAACTTCTTTGTGCCAAACATGGGAAGCAACTGGAGCAGAGTCCTCGTGGTCTGCCAAGTACCCTGAAGGTGAAGAAGAGTCCCAGGGAGCTGGAGGAAGGACCAGAATGGGGCTAGTAGAACTTCCTGTCATTCCTCCCTTCTGCCTATCTCCCTAATAAAAGTTGCAGTTCATTTTGCACATGGAAGAGGTTTTCTTGGATCAGGTAAATGGTGGGTACAGAGGCTGGAATAAAGACAAAGACCCCCACACCTATAGATATACACACAGTCAGGGACCTGTGATATGAGCAACCAAGATTGCACTTTTGAGAGCAGGTCCCCAAATGACAACAGACAACTCCATGTCAGAGGACCCTCTTTCCCAAGAGAAGCTGTTCAACATTCTGTCTTGGCATCTGTCCTCTAGCAGCACAGTTTCTGGGAGCTGCCCTGCACCTGACCTGTTTAGCCCCCCAAAACAGAGTGTAGGTTATTATAAAAGCAGCCAGTGCATGGGTCTTTATGAATTGCTACAACTTCCATCCTCCACAGCCACAGCCCAAGGCTTCCCAGCAAAGGCACACAGAGGCTTATCTCTAGCCTCCTTCTTTTGCTACTTCCCAAAGACCCCTAGAGCAGGGATGTGGAGAGGCAATAGGCCTAAGGGGAATGGTGGGCTGGTGACTGATGGAGGTAAGCTGTGAGTCTGGACCCTGGGGGTGGGAGGCTGAGGGGGAAACTGGAGTGCCAGGTCCCCGGGAGAAGACTTTGGTTTTGCCGAAGTTGCTGCAGGCCAGGGGCTTCAGGTTTCTGGTTCCTAGACTTGGGGAGGCTGTAGAGGCTAGCCCATGTCCCTGGCGGACAGCAGCCTTTCCCAAGAGCTCCTTAAACACAGAGTCCATGTTCTGCGCCACAGCCTAGCAAAAGGAAAAATGGAGGGCTCAGTGAGTTTCCTCCATTACTTAAACTGAGGCCTTGGTTACTATGCCAGGTTCTCTCTCTAGGGGCCATGGAAGAGACTGCCTGAACCTTCAGGCCACCTCCCCCACTCCATTCTAACTTCCTTCCTCTAGTCACTTTCAGTGTTGCTTGTGGAACAGTAACTTCTTAGTCTGTCTCTGAAGAGGGGGATCCTTTGAGCCCTGGGTCCCCCCTCTTCTCACCCTTACTTTTTCTCTAGCTGACATCACAGCTTCCATCCATGGTCTCTGGGGCTGTCAACATGCTGGGGATTCCCAAGTCAGTGTCTTCCCCTGGGTCTCCCAGATGCCAGGCTTTAGTTCCTGTGTGTTTACCAACCTTCCCTAAGCCCCCAAGGTCTAGGAGTAGGGGCAGTCTTCCTAAGACTTAGCAACTGTCTTCAAGGATTCCCTGCTCAGTCCATAGGGGCTCAAAAGACCTGTCGTATAAAGGGGACTCCCCAAGTTGTGCCACTCATCAGAGCCTTGTTCTGAGACTATTTTGCTTCCTCATTCAGCTGTCCCTCCTACTTCCCTATTATCTGTCCTTTCACTCTCCCTGGCTGGCTAAGCACCTAAGCCTAGCTCTAGGTGCCAGCTTTTAAGTCTATCCTGGAGCCCCTAGCCCACATCAGTCTAAACTGTCTGGCTTCTCTCTAGCTTAAGAGTGTTGGGAGTCCTATACCACAGCTGGGCTGATGATCTTCTGCCCTCTCATCTCTGCCCTTGGGTCCCTACCCCTGTCCCTCCCACCCCTGTCTCTTCCCCCTTGTCCCCATGCCCCTCCCTAGATTGTGACTTGACTCGCTGGTAGCAGGTACCCCTGGACTGGGACCAAGGACAATAACAATGAACCTCACCTTGGGGAAGGCAGAGACCATGTAGAAGAGGCGCCCCCTGCTGGCCCCATAGCCAGTCCTGACTCTTACCTTATCCATCTCCACATGTTGCTCAGGGGAGGTGGGAACCAAACAGTGTCGTCTGTGCCCAGAAGGGCCCACAGCCTCAGGTGGGGTGCCTAGTTCCAGCCTACAAGGTACAGATACGAAGATTAGTAATGGCCCTGGGAAATCTTTGCCCTATGCTGGCACTGCCCATCTTAGATATGGCCAAGGAAAGAGATGAGCCTCCATGGTCCCCAAATTCCTCTAGAATCTCTCCAAGTCACAAATAAGGGTGACTCTGTTCTGTCCACACAGTGTCCTTTATGCAACAACTCCCCCAATTCCATGTGGTCAAAGCCTGAGCCAACATCCTAAAGCTTAACAGTGCAGGTTGCCTCTGACCCATGGTGCCTGCTGCTGGGTCTTTCCAAAGGCCTGTCCTCTCCTGGCTCACCAATTGGTAAACTCCAAGGCCAGGAAGCCCTCTGGATGGCTCACAGATTCCACCGTGGCCTGCAGACCAGCTGTCTGCTTCTCATCCCTGGGAAGGGAAAAGACTGGCTTGCTTTGGACTCTTTCCTGGCTGGAGCTTAGAGGCCAATATCCCCTTACCCCAATCAAAGGAGTTGGGAATAGTTGTTCTTGGGCCCAACCCAGGCCTATAGACTCTGTTTCAGGATTGGGGAGGGCAGCATCAGAACAAGTCCTGTTTGAGCATATCAGAATGACAGCGGCTACTTCCAGAAAGAAGACCTGGAGACTCTATGCTCACAGGTCAGGAGACCCAAGGCAGATACAACGGGACCCTCCCCAAGGCTACAGCTGACTCACCCCTCAGGCAGTGTGATGTACTTATGGGGAATGAGTCCCTGTACACCAGCATGCTCCCCTCGCCACCAGTCACTCGATGCCCGAGCATACAGCCGTAGCACATCCCCTCGCTGGAATGTCAGCTCCTGGGCTGTGCTGGCAGTGTAGGCAAAGCAGGCCACAGCCTCCACATCTCCCTCCGGGTCTGTCAGGAAGAGATGGTCAGGCTGAGAGTAAAGTGGGTACACAGATAAAGAATGGGGTAGAGCCTCCCTGCTGAATCCCTCCTCACCATCTTCCTGAGCTGTGGTCCCAGCTTCCAACTCCAGCTCTGGCTCCCCAACAAGGCTCTCCAACTGGCTATCCCTGATGTTTCAAGCAGAATAAGGCAGGCTGCCCTCCACTAGATTCCCTCTCCCCCAAGAAGCACCCAAAACATACCCCAGGCAGCTGGCAGAAGGTGGTGCCATGCATTTCTCATAGATGGGGCCTGGCAGTATGGCCAGGGGTGGGAAAACTCGAGCTGGTTGCAGGATAAGAGTTTGCACCAGCTGGTTCACTAGACCCTGCAAGGCTACAGGGTCCTGCCCAGCAGGCACAGGCAACAGTGTGGGCCCAAAGCATACAGCCAGGTTGTAGGAGTCCATCATGTTCTCATCGCTGTACTGGGTCAGGCTGGGGAAATAAGCATGTCACAGGTAGGGAGCTACAGCACCAGTGACCCCTCCATCCCCAACAGTCAACTGGCTCCCCAGAAATACTCACTGGTTGAGGAAGGTGAAGAGATATCGCAGGACCACTAGCACAGGTCTGGGCAGTCTGGACAACAGATGGCTCATAGGCTCCACCCGCTCACCCACAGCCTCTAGTTCTATAGCCAAGGAAGCCCAAGATAGTACACTGAGTAAGATGTAGCCACTAAGAATAGTGGGTGCCCTTCTACCCAGCTGATCTCAGGCCTCACCTGCTGAAGTCAGAAGCTCATTAAACATGCCCAAGGGGAAGAGTGGGGGCTCCAGGCTCCTGAGCTCCAGCTTCAGTCCCCCAGCCACTGAGTCTAGGTCATGAGCAGTACAACCTTCCACCAGAGGGTCCTCCCCTGTGGAGAGTAACAAAGTAAAATGAGGAGGTTACCTGTGCCTACTAAAGCCACACTTATCCATCAGTCCTCACCTCTTTCAAAGGCATCTCGGATCTCAGAGATCCGGGCCTGGGCACCTGATATCCGGAAGATGCCTTCATGCTGCAGGCCTGTGGAGAACAAGGGGCCAACAGGCAGAATCCCCTCTCCCACAAACACCCAGTGCTAAGGTGGCAGAAGATCAGGTACACTTACCATTGAGGTTAATGAAACGGATACAGCTTTCCACCACAAGGGGCACAGGTTGGCCTGAGCTCTGGGACAGAGAACACATTTCACTAGGACACAGCAAGTCCCCTGGTCATTCTATCACTTTTCCCCTAATAGTATTATAGTGGAATTTTTTGGAATCTCTGTGAACGAACTGATTTGCTTGTGCCTTTAAAGTGGCACTTTACCTTTTATTTGCAAATCGTTGCAAGTGTAATAAGGCAATCAAAATCCAGATGTTGACCTTCTTTCAAAGAATACTGCAAACCTTATTTCTGCTCATTTAAATGGTCTGACTCTTTTTTGTTTGCTTGTTTTTTGTTTTGTTTTGTTTTTGTTTTGTTTTGGTTTTGGTTTTTCGAGACAGGGTTTCTCTGTGGCTTTGGAGGCTGTCCTAGAACTAGCTCTTGTAGACCAGGCTGGTCTCGAACTCACAGAGATCCGCCTGCCTCTGCCTCCCAAGTGCTGGGATTAAAGGCGTGTGCCACCACCACCCAGCAAATGGTCTGATTCTTATGAATGCTGTAGATACATAATGGCATAATTGTAAATGACAGTGTTACTTTTCCTCCCTTCCTTTTTCCTGGGAGTACTCCTGGACTCATCATCTTATCTTATGATTCCCTATTGACTCATTTCCCTACACTCAAAATGCTGCTTATTTTCTTTCCCCACATATTCTAGCATTCTCTTTGCTTTCTATTTTGGCAACAATAACCTCATTTCATTCCTCAGGGTTTTTTTTTTTTTTTCTTTTTTTTTTTTTTTTGCTATTTAAAATTGTCAAAGTCAGGGCCTGGAGAAATGGCTCAGTAGTTGGGAGCAGTGGCTGCTCTTCCAGAGAACTCAGGTTCAATTCCCAGCACCCACATGTCAACTTATAACTGTCTGTAGCTGCAGTTTCAGGGGATCCAATACTTTCATATACATACATGCAGGCAAAACACAAATGCACATGAAATAAACACATTATTTTTAAAAATATTTTAAAAAAGAATTGCCAGGGTCATATGGGCCAGAAGTATGGCTTATGAACATCTTGTGCTGTCCTAATCATAGGGGGCAGCTCTCAACACCTCATCTCTAAAAATGTTGCAGACCCAGGTTTTCTTTTTTTCCTTTTAAGTATATATTTATTTTTTAAAGATTTATTTATTTATTTATTTAGCATGTATACAGTGAGTGCCAGAAGAGGGAACCAGATCACATTACAGATGGTTGTGGGCCACCATGCGGTTGCTGGGAATTGAACTCAGGACCTCTGGAAAAGCAGTCAGTGCTCTTAACCCCTGAGCCATCTCTCCAGCCCCCATATTTAATTTTTTTAAATTTTATGTGCATTGGTGTTTGGACTGCATTCATGTCTGTGTAAAGGTGTTGGATTCCCTGTAACTAGAGTTACAGACAGTTGTAAGCTGCCATGTGATTACTGGGAATTGAACCCAGGTTCTTTGGAAGAACAGCCAGTGCCCCTAATCACTGAGCCACCTATCTCTCCAGATGCTGGAAGCTCCGGTTTTCTGAGTTCCTTAAGAGTTCTCTTTAAAGTTGGATGGTATTGGCACCACACCTTTAATCCCGGCACTTGGGAGGCAGTTTGAGGCCAGCTTGATCTACAGAGTGAGACTCTGTCTCAAAAACCAAAAAGCAAACAATTATAAAAGAAATAGTTCCTTTAAATTGGTACAAGCCACTAGGAAGCCCAAGGCTAGAGAAAGACCAGAAGGGATAGAGATGGACTCCAATGAATTAAGAGTGTGGGGCAAAGCAAATACCTGGATAAACTTCTCCAGGTCACCTCCAAAGAGTCTCTGGTTATACTGGGAGATAGGACGAGGGTGGTGGCTCTTGTGAAATTTTCTCTCTGTGCACTGGGTCCTGAGAAGAATGGGAACTGCCTTTTAGGGGAACAAGCCATCGAAAAGTTTTCCCATCCCTAACCCAGCCAGGGCATAGGGTGCTGGCAATAGAGCTAGAGCTAGGCAGTAAGGATAGGGGAGATGGAGACTTCTAAATAGGCCAGTACCTCATCAAGGACTCACCAAGATGTTTTTCGCTCTTCCTTGTTACCTGGAAAGAAGTAAATATTGATTGGTCTGTCTCTCAGACTGGGGAATCTTCAATTAACCCCAGAGAGAGGACTATCCTTGGACTGAAAGCTCAGGATAGTCAAAGGACCAAGGGGTAGGAAAGAAGTCAGTACCTATGCTGGGTTAGTTCCTGTATGCCAAACAACCTCTCTGGTTAGGGAGGAGCATGGGCCAGATCAGAGGGAGGAGGACGGGGGCAGTTTGGGCCCTAGAGAGAGGGTGTGCCTGGAGCAGGACCCACCTCGTTGTATAGCCTCCTGCAGCTTTTCATGCTTGGCCTGCAGCTTGGCAAGAATGCTCCGGCCACTCAGATACTCCTGCAGCTTCTGGAAAATTCAGAGAGTCCCTAGTTTGAACCTAAACTCAGTCCCCCTTTCTGCTGCCTTTTGTGGCCTTGTCCTGCCTGTCTAGCCCTACCGTAATGTAGAAGGTCTCTGTCTCCTGCTGCTGGCTCCGTCTGCGGCCTGTCTGTTTGGTGCCTGGGTCTGAGCTTGTGGACTTGAGGGACTCAGTGGAGGGGCTGGCCGGCAAAGAGTCCAACATGTCCCCATCCTCTGATGCTACCACTTCTAGCAGAGCCTGAAGTGTTGCCTTCAGTGTCTTATTCACCTGAGGGGACAGTGACAGGACAGTGAGTAGAGGACAGGATGGGAGGAAAGAAATCTAAATCTGCAGAAAGAGGAAAGGAAAGCTACTGCCACCTAGGAAGGAACTGTCTGGGCAGCTGAAGCTGAGAGAAAGCTCTAAGGCCTATCCCCACCCCAGGCTCAGTCATTCATGCCTCTTCTGTCTCGATGGTCTTTTGGTCCAAGCGACTCTGGATGTTTTGGGCTCTGGGCAAAATCTCATCCCGAAGTTCCATCTCAACCTGGATCTCAGCCACCTGCAAAGGGTAGTACCAGGGACTGAGGACTAGGCCAGGGCACAGAACTCAGATGAAGTAGTCAGGATATGAAACAAGGTACATATCTGTTGCTTGCTTCCAACTTCTGAGTGCTACAATGATAGCTATTCACCACCATGTCAGGTTTATGAGGTGCTGCAGATAGAACGAAAGACTTCGTGCATGCTAGGTAAGCACCAACTGAGCTACAGTCTCAGCCAAGGATATAAATTGTATCTTCAGTAAGTTTCAAATACCAATACAGAGGAACACATAGTCTAAGTCATATGAAAAAAGGACACATGCTGACAGATAGATGAACCTTGAGGAATGGAATGAGTCAGTCCCTATAAGACCTACTACTGTGATAGACCTTTATGTGTCAGTGCTGTAGCCAAGTTCACAGAGACAGAAGAATACTGGGTTCCAGAACCTGGAAAGAGAGCAATGGAGACCTAAATATTTAATAAGGACAGATTCTGTGTAAGAAAATAAACAGTCTAGAAATAGGGTGACACAGCAATGGAAATGTGCTTAACATCACTGAACTTGAAAGTGTCAGAAATAATAAATTTTATCTTTTGTTTTGTTTTGTTTTTTGAGACAGGGTTTCTCTGTGTAGCTTTGGAGCCTATCCTGGCACTCACTCTGGAGACCAGGCTGGCCTCGAACTCACAGAGACCCCCCTGCCTCTGCCTCCGGAGTGCTGGGATTAAAGGTGTGCACCACCAATGCCCGGCTTAAATTTTATCTTTTATCAATTAAAAAATGAGATCTATTGGGCTGGAGAGATGACTCAGCAGTTAAGAACACTTGCTGTTTACCCAAGGACCCGAGTTCTCTTTCTAGAATCCACATTAGGTAGCTTACAACCACGTATAACTCTAGTTCCAGGTTGTTTAATACTCTTTTCTGGCATCCACAGACACACACACACACACACACACACACACACACACACACGGCATATATATTCACACACATACATACACATAATTGTTTTTGAGACAGGGTTTCTCTGCGTTACAGCTTTGGCTGTCCTAGAACTCACTTTGTAGACCAGGCTGGCCTCAAATTCACAGACACTCACATGCCTCTGCCTCCCAAGTGCTGGGATTATAGGCATGCACCACCACTGACTGGCTACATACACATAATTAAAAATTTTTGTTGTTGTTGTTTTCTCGAAACAGGGTTTCTCTGTGTTAATTTACAGTCCTGACTGTCCTGGTACTCACTCTGTAGAGCAGGCTGGCCTCGAACTCATTGAGATCCCCCTGCCTCTGCCTCCCAAGCGCTGGGATTAAAGGCAGGTGCCACCACCGCCAGGCTAAAAATCTTTTTAAAAATAATGGTCTATTTAAAAGCAGATATGAGGGGCTGGAGAGATGGCTCAAGAGGTCCTGAGTTCAATTACCAGCAACCACATGGTGGCTCACAACCATTTGTAATGAGATCTGGTGCCCTCTTCTGGTGTGCAGATATACATGGAAGCAGAATGTTGTATACATAATAAATAAAATCTTTAAAACAAAATAAAAGCAAACATAGTGTTTGTACACGGGTACCTGCTGGAAGTCAGAAGAGGGCATTGGATCTCTTAGAGTTGGAGTTATAAGTGGTTACAAGCTGCCTGATACGTGTGCTGGGAACCTAACTCTGTTCAGTGATCCACCTGCCTCTGCTTCCCAGTGCTGGGATTAAAGGCGTGTGTCACCACTGCCTGGCAGTAAATTGTTTTTAATTCAGCAAAAAGTTGGAGGAGATTCCAAAAGAAATGTCTTTTAATAGAAATGGGAAGAGGAAAGAGAAAACAGGAAATTGGAGAATGAATCAACCTGTGAGATGCAAGTAGAAGGCAAGAGGAGGAGGAAGAACACGGTGTCCAGGGAAGCCAAAAGCCTCAAGCAGACAGACACACTTATTGCCTAGTACTAGAAGGGAAAATGGAACCCCAAAGGAGAGCATCATTAAATTTTACACCAGAGAAGAAAGACTACCCTAAAAGTTCATAAAATGAGGACAGACATCTAATTATAAATGATGCTGTATGCTGGGTGGTGGTGGCACATGTCTTTAATCCCAGCACTGGGGAGGCAGAGACAAGTGAATCTCTAAGTTGGAGGCCAGCCTGGTCTACAAAGCAAGTTCCAGGACGGCCAGGGCTATCCTGAAAAACCAAAAAAAGAGAAAAAAAGAAGAAAGAAATGATGCAGCAAGTGTTTATTATGAAATTTGTCATCAGTTTGTCTGTTCTGTTTGTAGATAGGTTTTTACACTGAAGTCCAAGCTGTGGGCTTTATTATGTAGCACAGGCTGGCTTTAAAGTTAGGATAATCCTTCTGCCTTAGTTTCCCCAGTGCTAGGATGACTGGCATGCACTACCATACATGGCTACAATTTTCAACATTTAGTGTATGGACAGCCGTGGTGAACAACTGGACTGCTGTGCTTGCACTGTTTGAGGGCAGCCCCCTGAGTGAACTGCTACAGCTAACTGTTCTAATAGGACAGAAGCCATAGGATGAAGGGCTGAGAAATAAGGACCTTCAGCATCCTGGAATTTGTTTTGTTTTAGGAAAGTATAAATTATGTGACTGACTCACACTAATATGAAGTACAGAGAATGTGAAGTCTTTTTAAATCATGCTTGGTCCTTAAGGGTAGCAGAAGTAGGGGGTGCAATAAACTGACCCTCACCTCATCACCTTCATGGGGCTGGTAGTCAAATCGTAGTGGGAGACAGAAGGCCATGGCATGAACTTCAAGCACTTTGGCTTTGTCCCCTGGAGGATCCAGGGCCTCCAGAGCCTCTTCCAGGCTGCCCAATCCTTGCATCTGGGAGGCTTGAGTGCGGTTCTCAGCAGCTGTGTAGCTCCGGAGGGCCTGCCCCAGGGCCAAGTGGAAACCTGTGTCACAGCACTGGGAAGAAGCAAGTAGACACTGTTGTGGGCCTGGAGCCAGAGCCAATGGCTCAAAGCATTTAAGCTCCAATACCATGACCCCACTTGCCTGCCCACACAAGACTTACATCCATGAGGTCCAAGATACCCTGCAAGTAGTAGTTGCTGACGGCAGCATTGACACTGGCTAGGCTGAGCAGGTACTCATTTCGGGCTGTGGTGCACTTAAGTTTATGCTCCAAAAACTTGGCGTGACGCTGCTCAAGACACCAAGGAAGACCAGGGTCACACATTTGGAAACCACTCTTATCTCCACTGTTATCCATTCCCTCTACTGACAAGCATGGCCAATGTGCCACGGGTCCCTCATGTTTAATATAACATGAACCTTTTTACACTGCCACACACCAACTCTTGGTCCACCCTTTTGATCTCTTGGCA